CAGCTCTGCAAATTACTGTGTGACTTTGAGCAAGCCCACTATCCTTGAGACCATCACTTCCTGCATCTGTACTATGCAGGAACTGGGTCAAGCCCTAAGCCCCAAGCTGCCTGTTCCTCTCTCCTGATGGTTAAGTACCACCCTCCACAGGCAAGGATGAAGGAGGGTTAGGTGTCATTCTCTCATCTCCCAGGGTGCTTCAGGATGGTCACGAATGCTTACTCTGCATTCCCCTGCAGATCTGTGGAAACATCTCCATTTGCCCCATGCAGTGTATATTTTACAGGCGTCTGGCATCAGACTCTCAGTCCACCCTGTCATGGGCTATTACCGGCCTCAGTTTCAGATAAGGGGGCAGAGGGCTGCTGAGAGATGATGTGCTTATGGTCACATGGTCTGCGAAGACTCAAATGAAAGTCTTCAGCCTCCAGTAAAGCCAGCTCTTGTCCAGGGCCTCCACTCTGTCCTGGTTCCCAGGGAGACCTCCTGGGTGGGGGACAGATTTGGCTCAAAAAGACTGGCTGGAGGCCTGAAGGTCCAAGGTAGCTTGGAAGACATTTTAGACATGGATTCAAGTGGTCTCCAAGGAGCAGGAGAACTGCCTACCCAGGCCCAGATCAGACAAGTAACTGATGCTTCTCCATCCTGCAGACTTCCCAGCCAGAGGCAGCTCAGCCTGTCTACCACTAGGGGGAGCCCCAAGACAGCTAGTGAGAAGTGCTACTGCGCGTTCCCTGTCTCTTCCCCATTCATTATCAGTCTCAGGCTGGACAAGCCTGGGGGTGGATGTCTCAGGCTCCTGTACCCATTGCCCCTCCTTATGCTGCACCCCTTCCATCCCATCATCCCTGTCAATAAACACCTGGGGTGGATGTTATGTGCACCTGTTCTGTGAGTTTGTTTGAGTTTGACTATCTGCTGGCACTTCCATTCTTTATTTCTCATGTGCCCTTATGATAATCCCTTTAGAAAGGTATAATTATCCTTATTTTAGGAGTCCCTGCATAGACGAGGCAAGTGTTCCTCTACAAACGGAAAGAGGAACTGCTTTGAATGTATGTCAGCCGCCATCCTTGAATGGAGCACACGGTATATTGCCTGTTGTCAGAAGCTACTCACAGCTGACCCTCCAGCAGCTTTTCAGAGGCAGTAAATCACATGGGAGGAGACTGCACACCCCTGCTGCAGTCAGTACCCACCGCGATTTGGTAATCACACGATGTGAATGCAACTCTTCTCTACCTTGGCCTTGAGGGAACCATTTGATGCCTATTCTGAGCCCTGGCTCTATCGGGTTTTTCAATGCCAAAACTGTCACCAGAGTCCAAAATATTCTACACTCTTACCCTCAGTCTTTCCCTGGGTCCCTAACTCTCATCACTCTGCTGTTTCTGATCTTCTCTCCAGCGACACTGACACTGCCCTCCATGTTCCTCTTTCAACTAGACTCTACCATAGAACCTTTGCCTGGCTGTTCCCTCCGCTGGTGGCTTTTCCCATTAACCATCTGGTCAAGTCTCTTACCTCCTCTAACTCTCTGCCCCCCAAAAAAGACCATACTCTTATTTTTAAAAAATTTTTTGTTATTCATTTCAATGAAAATTTACAGACTTTGGATTTCCATTCATTCATTGTTGCATTTTTTACCCTGCCCACGCCTCCCACCCAATACACTCTTCTCTTTGAAATGTAAAAGAAAAATTCTTTCATTGTTTTACAATCCCTCCCTCCAGGTCCACTCCACTATGCAGCCTTTGTTTTGTACTCCTGTCATGACAAAAATACCTGATCACATATCCCTTTTGAACAGTTTTCTCCCTCATCTGTTTCAATGCAGTATACATAATTTATCCCATTTCTCGGTTTCCTCCCAACCCCAATGTCAGTCCTATTTTACAACAGTAGAACTGCATCATGCAGTATTTGTCCTTTTGTGACTGAGATACTTCACTCATCATAATGTCCTCCAAGGTCACCCATTTTGAATAATATTGCATGAGTTCCTTGTTTTTCAATGCAGCGTAGTATTCCATTGTGTGAATATACCACAGCTTCTCTATTCATTCATTTGTTGATGGGAACTTAGGTTGTTTCCAATTCCTTGCTATAGTGAACAAAGCCACGATAAACATGGGTGTGCATTGTACTCTATTTTTAGATACCCCTAGCCCCACACCCTTCTCATTGGGTACTCTTGAGTTTTGTTTCTTGTTTTCCTATAGCACTAACCACCTTTCTGTATCACTTACCTGTTTATTATTTCCTGTCTGCCCCACTACAAGATTAACTGCACAAAAGCAGATATCCTTGCTTGTTTTGTGTTCTGGAACTTTCTAAGCACCTCAGAGCAGCACCTGCCATGGGCATGTAGTAGATGCTTAATAAAAAGCTGTTGGGTAAATCAACCCTCAGCTTACAAATGAGGAAAATGACGTTTAAGGACAGGAAGCAACCTATCCTGGGCGGCAGAGCTCATGAAGGACAGAGTTGGGATTCAAACCCAAGCATTTGAGCTCAAGTCCACAGACCAGAAGCTGGGATTCAAACCCAAGCACATGAGCTCAAATCCACAGACCAGCTACTATCCTTCACGGCTACATGGCTGAAGAGTTAGGAACTAAATACGAAGCACCAACAAGTATATCAAGATGATTGTCACCTCCTGGAAATATGAGCACAGTTAACAAATTCCTCTTTCAGAGAAGTTAGAAATCCCAATTTTTACATAAAATATGCTGTTGTTATGTGCTGTCAAGTCACCTGTGACTCAGTACAACAGTCCTGAAACCTGCTCTATCCTGTGCCAATCTTACTGTCTCTGGCACACCTACTCTCATTACCACAGTCACTGAATCAATCCATCTCATCAAGGGTCTCCCTCTCTTGCACTGTCCCTCCACCCTTCCAGGTATGATGTCCCTCTCCAAGGACCGGTCTCTTCTGGCCACATGCCCAGAGTATGTCTGGATGAAGGCTCAGAATCCTTGCCTCCAAAGAGCAGCCTAATTTCACCCTCTTTAAGAGAGACCGATCCTTGGAGAAGGATATCATGCTCAGAAGGGTGTAGAGACAGTGCAGGAGAGGAATACCTCAGAGGAGACGGATTGATAGAGTAATTGGGGCAATGAGGTTGGATATATCAGAGTCAGACTGGCTCAGGATAGGGCAAGCTTTAAAGCTATTGTACATTGGGTAGCTATGAGTTGCAGGCAACTTGACGGCACCTAACAACAATACATGAAATATATCCTTTTTTAAAAAAAGTAGCATCTAAGTTGATGGTCCCATAGGTATCAATGGAGTTCAGAAACCCCTCTTGGAGAACGAGACATAACAAAGACATGTGCATCTCGTCTTTCTTGTATACAACTTGATCAGGCTGCCAAGGCATTTAAGGTCAGATAAAATGGATACTCTATGGAAATTGATATTATAAAGGCCTACATTACTGGCTTATATATGTACTGTACTTTCTGTCTAAACAATTTCTACTTCAAGGCAGGAGCATCCAAGCTCATGTACTATGCTTCTCTGGAGTGTTGTAGAGCTTTTCTATTTTTTGACACCCAAATCTCTTTACTGGGGACGGGCACCACCCTCATTGCACAGCCTGTTCATTGGCACTGTTTCCTGAATCCTGCAGCTTCACCATGTCCAGCGGCTCCGTCGGGCTGGATAATGGTTCAGTGTGGAGGGCCTCAGATGTGTCATCTGCCAGAAGGGCCAGCCCCACTGTGGCCAGAGGGGTCTCGCTGTCTGCCTGGTGAAGCCACATTTGCCCAGCGTCTTGGCGTCCTCCAGGAGCCGGTTGTCCTTGGACAGACGCTGCTCTTAGGGTGGCCGCTTAAGGATGCCCTGGACGAGGTGCTTCAGCTGGAACACGGTGCTCAACTCCTTGGTGTCGGTGAAGACGGTGGTTTTGTGGCGATGAATCATCAGAAACATGTCCTGGAGCAGTGGGTCTGCGTGAGCGCAACTCCTCACCGACGCCCCCACTCCCTCCCGGAGTTTTTCTTTCTGTTTCGTTTTCAAACCAAGTGAAACTAGTGGTAGTGAAACTACCAGCAAAAGGCAAAGGAGAATTATCTCCTCAGAAGTAAAACAAAAGGTCACAACAGGAAGGTGGAAAGGGAAAGTGAATGAATGCTATTGTTTTGGGATTTATACATGCCACCTGACAATCACTATAATATCTGTGTGTGTGTGTGTGTGTGTGTGTGTGTGTACTGTCAAATCAGATCTGACTGGTACAGGAGGAGATTGCCCCTTCTTCTCCAGCAGAGCATCTGGTGGATTCGAACCGCACACCTCTGGGATTGCAGTGCAGCTTCTTCAGCTTCTTGCCACTAGGCCGCCAGAGCTGCCTTGACAATCACTATAATCTTATGTCAAAAGGGACCAAGAGAAGATTTGGAGAAATTGCTAAATGACGTGGACTAAGGTTCGAACCCAGAAGCAAATTCCTCTCAGCCCTCTGGCCAACACGGCTAAGCCACAGAAGCTTGCCGGAGATGCTGAAAAACAAAACCAGGCTACAACCTGGCATTTGCACACTGTCCTATTTCACAAAGCATAGAGTAGATGTTGAAGTGTATCTATCTAATTCACAATTTGAACACTGTACAAGACAAAGAGTTCCTGGTGA